TCGAGACGCGAAGCGTCGAGATTGACTAATAATCTCGAGACAGAAATGAAAACTTCCCTCCAAGGTTTGTATACTATTTTATTTGCAAGCACACCATTAATTATGATTAGTCAATCAATTTTTTTAATATTAAAAAAATAAAACAAACATGCCAAAATGTGTCATTCGCTGCTTTGACGTTTTTACCTTACATGTTTTCATTGTTGCCAGCAAAGGTAAATAAATTAGAGTGAGGGAAATCGGTGAGGGAAGTCGAATAGGGAAATCGGTGAGGGAAATCGAAGAGAGAAGTGACACAGGTAAAGTGTCACTTCCAAATTTTTAAAAAGTCAGTAATGACAAGATTACATATATGATTGCAAATAAAATTAATTTCCATTCGAATCATAAGAATCGAGATAAGAATAAACCTACCTTACCTACCTCAGCATTCAGATTTGGGTTAGTTTGGGTGAAATGTGGGGTTTGTGTACCTAATTATTAACTATCTTTGGGAATCCCAAGCTACAGACAAAAATGCACTCTGGCTCCTTCGATTTCGCGCGGTTATATGAAAGTAAAACTTACCCGGTGAGTGCACTCAGTACATTCTCTAATTTTTTGGTATTTGTATATTTGGTATTTGTATATTTTACGGGCAATGGGCAATGTTTTAATTAAGTCGATTTTTCTTTTCAAGACCAAGACCAAGACCAAGACGAGAGTCTTGAGAGAGAGTCTTGGTCTTGGTCTTGAACGTCAAGTCTTGGTCTTGGTCTTGAGAAGCTTTATCAGGTCTTGGTCTTGGTCTTGGTCTTGGTCTTGCTTCCAAGACCAAGACGAGACCAAGACTAGTCTTGTGATCTCGCGAAGCCGTATGTTAGATTGTTCTATAAAATGCCGTTTAGCGAAGATGAAATGATACTTTATTGTAGGTGTATGTGTATGTAGGTAGGTATCTACTAGTAAAATAAAGTAGCTTTATTTTACAGTCTTGACAAAGTCAAGTCTATTTATTATACCTACATGGTTTTAGGAAAATATATACAAAATTAGTGTTTCACGAGATTCTTGCAAATTTCTTGTTCTTGTCTTGTTCTTCTGCAAGAACAACACAAGACTCTCTTAAATTTCTTGACAAGACAAGACAAGACAAAAAGTTGCCAAGCAACACAAGAAATTATTCTGCAAGACTCTTGCAATCTTGCAAAAAATCTTGCAAAAAAATGAAGTCTCCTTCTCTGCACTGGCGTATCCAGGGGGGGGGGGCAAAAGGGGCAATTGCCCCCCCCCCCCCTCCCAGAGCAACATCTTTTTATTTCTTTTTTTTTTAAATTAGTCAAATAATAAAAAAATTAAATCAAAAATGTACTGAAATTAATTTATTAAATAATACTTTTTTCAACTACATGAACAGTTAGCTTTTTTGTAAATAGAAACTGTTCAGTTGTACGCAATTGTCTGGTAAAGCTGGTAATGCAAAAGGTACCTTTATGATTCAATCTTTCTGTGGAATGTACAATCATTTAGCTCCTATTGCGTAACCTATATTTCAAATTTGGGCTTAATCCCTCGAAAACCGCAGGAGCTATAAAGAAAAAACTAAAAAATATATTTAAATTTCAACACCCTGTAGATCGGTAACGAAGCGTTTGCAAACCCATGTTTCTTTGAAATTTTATTTAGTCATAAGAAAAAACCAAAGAATCGCCCCCTTCCGTTTGTACATGCATGATATTTAGTATTAAAGAACACCCTGTATAGTGATGTAAAATTCCCGAAACATTCAAAAGCCGCGAACATTCTCGGAAACTTTCCGGGAATATTGGAAACTTTCGGGAACTTATGGAAATGTTGTTTTTTTTTTAAAAAATCATAGCTAAATCAGACAAGTCGTAGTAACCTTTATTTTCCTATTATTGTGGTGTACTGAGTATAGATTATAAACCAAAAGAAACACCTATTTTTTTTCTGTAAGATCAGCCAAAAATTAAACTATGTAGTGGGAACACTTTTATGGACGGTTGAATAAGGCTTTAAAGAGAAAGTTGATCCGATTAGCCCAATCTCTCAGCTCTTTATTTTTTATCTTTCTTTAATGAAGATTATTTTGAAAAAAGACAAACTGTAGGTACATCAGCTGGTGATCGGGTAAATTGGATCAGCGTTTCTGTAAAGCAATTGGACTAGGCTACGTCATCCACATAAATTGCAATGACGTCACTGAGACCTTGTATTAGCAATAATCTCGCATTTTTATAAAATTCTTCTGGAAAGTACTTGGAAATATTCTCGAAAGTTCTCAGAAATATTCTTTTGAGATTTGTTGAATGAAAGTTTCCGGGAATATTCTCATTCAAGAGAACGTTTCCATTTTTTATCCGCGAATATTCTCGGAAATTTCCCAATGTTCGCGAATATTCGCATGGGAATATTCTCGACTCACATCATTACCTGTATATACCAATATTTATATTTTGGATATTCCAGTGTGAATTTTTTTAGTAATTTAAAGTATTTATTATACAGAATGGGGCACGAAAAATTTCCCATCCATGTTTTCTCAGGTATTAGGTGATCAATCAAAAACCGCTCGAACACGTCAATTTTTGTTTTTGGGGGGACACATTTCATTGGTATTTTCACTCCCTACCTGTCAACCCCTAAGCGGGGGAGACAGATACCAAAGTCTAACAGATACCTCCAAAATTTCAAATGCAAAAGGGGGTCGAGTGATACGTCATTTGGTAGCTATTTTTGTAAGAATTATATCCTCAAAGTTTTAAGTTGCTACTATTTTCACTACCGAAATGGCAGTGTGTCAAAGTTAGGAAAAATGCTTTTTTCCGAGTATCTGAACTCTGTGATTTTTACCACATAATAACAAAACAACACATTTTTGAAGGGTACCTATCCATAGTAATAAAATAACATTGGCATTTAATCTAAGTATCGTCATTCAACAGTTCAGTTCAAAATGGTTCATGTTTATTCACTTGAAAAATATGTCAATTTGTTAATATGAGGTAAAAAACACACAGCTTTCACAAGCTTTTTCGACAGGGTTGATAGTAGCAATTTGAAACTTTGGGGATATAATCTTAATAAAAATAGCTCATAAATGAAGCATCATTCGATCCCCCTTTCCATTTGAATTTTTAGGGGGGGTACCTGGTACCTGTCACCCCCGCTTAGGGGTTCACAATTAAGGGGTGAAAATATCAATAAATAAAGTCCCTCGAAAACAAAAAGTGATGTGTCCGAGCGATTTTTGATTTATCACCTGACACTTGAGAAAACCTGGGTCATCCTGGGACATCCAGGTTTGCCCCCCCAGAACCTCATGCTGGATACGCCACTGCTTCTCTGCATATTTTTGACTTAATTTTGGCAACGTTGTGGCAATTAACAACGAGATAATAATGTCAGCATGTCAGTTTGTAAAGTTTAAGGCATTTTTTTTGCGACAAAACGTTTTGAAATTGTAGTTTCAAAACACTCAAACAGATGTGAGTTTCTAACAGTTCTAATCTTGCAGCAAGTATGGCTAAGAAAATTTTGGGTCCTAATGGACAACGACACTGCACACACAATATTGAATTTTAAGCTCAATGTGAAGGCCTTTTCGTTTTCAACCATCAAAGAATCAAGTCGAATTTTTTTAAGGTCTGTTAGCATTGTAGTGCATAAAATAGTGACGTTAGAGCTGAAACTGTTTTGAAACGGTTTTTGAAACTGTTCCCATAGACTGTTTCCTCAAAAAAAGGCCTTCAAACCAGGAGAGATGACAACCACGTTATCAATGACAATAACACCTGTGATGACACCAATCATAATCTTAAGGGCCCCACAGACTAAGATGAAACACGACGGTTTTGATCGCCACGATGAAACACGTCGTTCCATAACCGGAGTGTGTGGTAGAAAACCGTCATGTTTTTCTACCACACACGCCCCCGACACGCTTTTGAACATATTGAATGATGCAAGAGTCTTGCAGCAAGAATCTTGTAACAAGGCTCTTGCAAGCAAGACTCTTGCTATGACGTCACAAAACAAATAATGCAAGAACAAGAAGTTGCAAGAAATCTTGTTTGCAAGACAAGATTTTTTTTTGCACGAGTCGAGCAAGACAAGAATGAATTTCATTTCTTGTCTTGCTTTACAAGACAAGAAAGAATAGGCCCAGCAAGACAAGAAATCTTGTTTTGTGAAACACTATACAAAATCAAATCAATTTTCGATGCGATTCGAGTGCAATCGGACATAAAATCGTATAAGATATGTGTAATAGACTAAGCGATATTGGACTCGTCACAGAAAAACTGACACAATGAAGCTCTACTTTATGTACTTCTAACATAAATAGCTACTATGTGACATTAGTGTTTTACTCTACTCTCAAGAAAATTATACTGGGTTCTGACCAATAAAACAGCTATATTTTATTTTTGGTACGGCCAACTTTCTCACTCGTTGCAATATACTTTTATTGTTTGAAAACATCACAGGAAAAATAAACTTATTTGCATAAACTGTACTAGTACTACCATTGATAACCGGATCATAAAATAGGAACTCATTAAAAATACCCTCTAAAATAAAAAGAGTTTTGGATATTCGATATATGTAACATAAGTGATTGATAACGTATTTGTATCCCTCTCTAATAATAGTAACTGCTTGTGATAGCATATTCTTATATTTCTCTGGCTTAACATGTTGCTCATGGTTGTGCACATCGGCACTAACAGTCACCATACGTCCCGTAGTCACTATCCTTGACTTGCACCTATTTTCTTTAGATTTAAAATAATGATTGCACATCCAGATGGTTTTATTTGGCACTTTTCGATAAATTAGGTACTCGTATTCGTCAAGGATAATTTTTGGATGTTTAGTACCCTTACGAAAATAGATAAAATCTACAAAAAAATATCAATAAACCTTGTATTCGAGATTAGTTTTGCTTTGGCCGGCTACATTGTCGAATGAAAAATATTGACTTTCAGATTAGGTTTTTACTTAAATAATTCCTTAAACTCATCTCTAATCTCCCTACAAATAGTAACATCACTACACCGCATATTTTCGTCACGTTTAATAGAAGTGCCTGTGATAATATGATTGTGTGGATCGCTACTAATAAAAACAGTCTTCCCTGTGGTAGTTATACGCGACTTGCACCTATCAGTTCTAGTTCCGAAGTACTCCCTGCATCTCCACACAGTTTTGAGTTCAAATTTTTTGAAAAGTCGGTACGATTGTCCATCGACTAATAGTTTGGGGTTTTGTTTGCCTACTCCGAAATATACTGTGGATTTTTCACCTGAAAATTAATTAGCTATTGTTAGTTTTGATTATTACATTATTAAGTTGAAAGAAAGTTATATTATACATATTTTAGTGCTTCAAAAATGCATACTTCTAAATGTTAGGTTTAATTAAACAACGATTTTGTATGGATTATACAAAGTTGTATATATTCAAGAAAACGAAAACATTTTAAGCCAACTATTATTTCACATGGAAAGAATAGGTAAACCGATCATAAATTATACTAAGCACATTAAACTCTAATCCCTAAGAGCAATATAGTTCACCAAGGTTGTTCGCTATTCGGAAGTAACTGAATTGGTTCTGCAGCATAATGTCTCTACAGTATGGCGAAAAATCTAGAACGAAACACGGTCGGTAATTGCAAAGAACATCATCGGCCTAACCTCGAACTGAATAAAACACAAAATCAGTGGCACGTCTAGTTATCATTGAGTTTTGAATGTTTTGATTGACCAGTCTTTCAATCAATATATCCCGAATTAAAAATTCACCCACGTTAACTACGTTCTTATCTAAAACCGTGCGGTAAATAAGGTATACCACACGATTTTTCGTATGATAAGAACCATATTACCGAACGGCGCGCTGTAATAGCGTGAGGTATCAATTACCTACCTTCAATCACCTACCTATCACATACATTTTACTCGTCCACTGTCAAACGTGACAGACAGCCTGAGACGCAATTTTATTTTCTATAACTATTCAAACTTTTCAAGGATATTTTATTACCGCATGGTTGTTGATAAAATACTGTACCTATATAATATGTAGGGTAAATATCTTATTACTGGCCTTAGAGATTGCAAAGCCTTGCCTCAATGGCTTGGTTTGCAAATTTCTATCGAGTGAGGTAATAACCTAGTTGCCGGACTTATTACATAATATACTATCATGTGGCTGTGGTGTACACAAAAATAAATCAAGGAAACAAAAATGGTGGTTATTCGTAAATTACTACTAGAAACTTCAGTTACCAACCAAACATACATTCAATTTAATCATTTTTGGTTCGATCTTAAAGAGGAGAAAAATTCTATGGGGAAAATAACAAATAAGTACCAGTATTTGTCATTGATATATTCAATTTTTGACACTTACACAATCTCTGCTCACCACAGCTCACCATTTTGCTCACACCTCGTTCGGGCAATCAAATAATTTGCGGCCCGGTTTCACATAAATAAAACAATATAAGATGAAGTAGGTACTTATTTGAGATACACACATAAATAACTGATTAAAGTTGAAGTTAATTAATCTTGGATAAATCCAAAAAATTCTATATATTAGATCTTATAATATTCACTTGCCGTGGCACACCATTCTTTGAAGGTACTTTAATAGTAGGTGCATGATTGTGACCGCCAATAACAAATAGGTCTTTGCCTCTAGTCACTATTTTTGATTTACATCGATCAGATTTTGTTTGAAAATACTTGGAACACATCCATATAGTTTTGACCAATTCCTTACGTAGAACTAAGTAGGAGTTTTGGTCCAGGATTATTTTTGGATGTTTGGTGGCCATGTCGAAGTAAATTGTTTCTAAAAAATACATAATGAATTAAAAGGTTTTTATAAAGGATATACACGACAACCATTCTCTGAGTTCAAAATCATTGCTAGAGAGCTATTTCAACGACTTCACGAAGATGGAGACAATAGAGCCTCCTACTTTTATAGCGTGCACGTATTACTAAATGAAAATTTTGACGAGTAAGTTGTCGATCATGACCGTTTCTTTAAAGGCTCTGAAACATGGAATAAAAAAAAGACTCACGGAGAAGAAATATTTATTATATTTATTATGAGCAAACATCTAAACTTAAAATTAGATAGGCAGCACAAAAAAAAAAAAAACTTCAAGCTTTCGAACATTAAACATCACTATATATTCGCCTCTTACCCTCTATTTCGGATCTTATAATATTCACTTTCTTTGGATGAGTATATCCAGATGCTACGATACTCAATTTCTTTGACTGAGTAAACCCAAGATGATTATGCTCTCCGTAGACGAAAACATTTTTTCCAGTACTAACCAAACTTGATTTGCATCGATCAGTTTTGTTATTTCCAAAATACTTAGAGCAACGCCAAAAGGTTTTAGTCGGTTCTCGGCGTAGCAATAAATAGCAGTTTTCATCTAGGAGTATTTTTGGTTTTTTACCAGTCATATAAAAATGAATTAGATCTGGAATAGTTATTTCTTTAATTATTGAAAATTTCATTAAATTTTGTGAAAAGGATAAGTTCGGGTCAGTTTGGTTGGAGTACATTATTATTTCTACACACACTATTGAGATACCATTTAAATAAGTAACATGTCAGATAAGCTGCAACGAATAAGCTTGCAAAATTTTTGAGAGATCTCTAAGGTAGCTAATCTTAATAGCGTTTGGAAAAAAATATTTTAAATTCTATTTTTTCTTGCACCTGAGTCTTTCAGATAGAGCAATTTCAACAACTGGGAATGTTGCCACTATAATTATTCTTCAGAACGGCGACCGATCAGAAATATCCAACTACTCCCAAAAATTCTACTTTCCTCATGTACAAGGTTGCTAATATTATCAACTTGCTCGACTCCGAAATTAGAAGTTTATCATTCAAGGAATAGGGCAAAATATCGAGAAGCCTTTGTAACAAACGATCATTAACAATTATATTGCTTATTGAAAAGTGAACAGAGTACAGAACCACTAATCCTCAAAATCTCAGCGCTTCTCTACAGACATGTTTAAAATATCCTCTTCTTTCCCAGCGGCAACATTCGGAGCTTCTCTTCAAGTTCCCCACTAAAGGCTGATAGTCACCAGAAAGAGCTCCATTTGTATTTTTGCTTTCTCCTAGTAGTTTGTTTTTTTCTTGTATAGACGCCGCGCTGATCTTTGCTTTTGATATCTCAGGAGTCGCTTCCATTTCTAGGGCTTTGAATATAGAGAGTAGCAGCAAATACTTTATGATTTGGTTATAAGCAGCATATCTGTCATCCCATATCTATTATTCTGTGGTAGTACTTTTCTGCCGCTAGTTCTTCTCGAACTTCTGCGGTTGCTTCCGGGTAGGCCAAATTAACCAAGCGTTAGTTATCGATTGCAAATTATTGTGAAATAGTTGTAGCTAATAAAGCTGCCGTTGGTGTTGATCCCCACAACGTGTAACCCCTTTTGTTAATGAATTAACAAAAGGCCCATAATATGCTCGGTCTACTCAGCGAATGATTATTAGTTGTGGGTTGATAGTTCAATAAGTACGGAATGGCAAGGAAGCCACTGAATTTAAAAAAATAATAATAATTTAATCACATAAAATATTGGGATGTGAAAATTCAAAAACACACCGAGAAAATAATCAGCAAATTAGTAATTCTGAAAAGGAAATAAATAAGGCACGTAACCCAACTAAATCCTGACACAGGTAAACCAATAAAAGAATTAAGTAAGTTTCAAATTAAATTAGTGTATATTTCACAGTGAGGTCAAAAAAAAAAATATGTATTACCATGTACATCAGTATACTTGCCACATAAATTCATTAACAGTTGCTGTCAGAAAATAAAATCAATAACACCAACTTGAACCTGTATGAAATCGAAATTTGAGTTAAATAACAGTTAAATGGTCAGAAGATACAATAGAAATCCTCGAATACATAAGTTATGGGACCCAGGGTTAAAAATTGATCAATTTTAGACGATGTTTGTTCCTACTTCATAATTTTGAATTTAGAGCATGTTGTCCAACCTCGACTTCTGTTCAGATTACTGGTTGATTATTATTTAAAAAAATATAAGTACTGAAAGTTAAGCAAAGATAAACCCATAATAAATTCGATAAATAAAAAATTAAATAATAAAGTTCACTCCGGTCTGGTGTCAAGAATATAATGAATGAAATTGAAATTTTAAATATTTCAAAGCAATGTCGGTAAAAATTCAATCAATTATGGTGGGTAATTGATCATAAAATAGATTTTATAGAAAAAGGTAGTAAAAGTTATAATTGAAACTCTATACAAGCATCAATTCCAACAAAAGGGTAGAGTACGGTAGTCGATAGCCATCCATTTTTGGTCACTGGACGCGGGGAGTTACAAATGGAAGTTGCAGATTCTATCCTAGAACCAAGGCTCAGATTTCTTGGTCAAAGGTGGGGGTACAGGTATCGACACGTGAGGGACTCAAGAGCTCTATACCCAGAGATGGGGCTTGTGGAAAATGGATCCCTTGAGAAAAAAAGCTCCCCGGTAGAAACAGCTCCCCGGTAAAAACAGCTCCCCGGTGAAAACAGCTCCCCGGTAAAACCCTAAGTAATAGAGGTATTCCATGGACAACTATAACTTAAAAAAATTAGAAAAGACTTACCCCGTGAGGGTTCGAAATTGAAACTCAAATAAAACGGTAATCACGAGACTTTTTATTTAAATTTTTTTGAGCCATCAATGGATTATTGCCTTACGCAACTTTATTATTATTCTGTGAGATAAGTAGAAAATATGTTTACCTGCTCTGGCAACCGCGTATATGTTCCAAACCATGTGATGCCCCGGATTTTCGAACATCTTACTTTATTGCGAGAAGCTTAAAATTGTAGCTCTTATAGCATTATGATCTAGGCCAAGATGCCCCCGGCCGGCGTCTCGAAAGAACGTCCAAAGCATTTTCCAATAAAATACTTCTGCAGATAACCTTACGTTCCTTACTTTCACTAAACGTCAGATATCGTGTAAACAAGAACTAGGGACGGGGTGCAGAAACTAAACATTTTGCTTTAAAAATAGCGCGACGCAAGCTACGTCACAACGCGTTAATAAGCGATAATGTCACCTACGAAAGATTTTTCATAAGAGGTGCAAAAGGTCTCTATTATTATCAGCGATAAGCGGTAATTAGAATATATAATCTCAACAGTATGCGATAATTGGAATAGGTAATTGAGAAAATAAGATATGACAACTTCAGCAAACTACCAGACAGAAATTGAACCCTAAGGTAACAAAATTGATAGATGAGCTGAGTCGCAGAAACATTAACCCGAGGAACATTTCAAAGCAATTTGTGAATTTTGCGTAGATACAATAAGCAAAACAGCTGGTAATCTATTTTGGGACATAATTTCGTTTAGAAGACCAAATCTCATGGAAAACACGAAAAGTCAGCAATGAAAAATTAATAGAATTACGGAAAACGAATCAGGTAAGTGTCTTTTTTATAAATAAGACAAAGAAAAGATGCAAATAATTTTAGGTAAGAGATACTGATTCTTCTCACACCTTTGGGCCTTATATGGAATTCCAGCAGGCTTGGCACGACAGATTGGCTTATAGAATGACATGAGAAGTGCTTTACAACATAACATAAAAAAGGGGAAACATCAAGAGAAGGTAAGTTAAGGTTACATAATTGATAATTGATAGAAGTTTATTTTTCAGGGGAGTTATATACCAGTGGCGAAAAAGATTGATAAACCTGTTAACGAAGCTACATACATCATTATACATATTTTGGACCAGTAATCTTACATTAGTTATTAAGTAAATAGCTTTAGAAACCAAACTAAGTCTTGTTAAAATAAATAAATAAAAGATCAATAGGTTTAGGTATTGTTTTTGATTCACTTAAATTTAATGACAGTTAGAATAGCAAAAGCATGAATACTTATTTCTGGTGATATCCACACCATGGCGAATGCATAAAGTAAAGTTCCTGATTTAATACCAAATTGCCTATTTTATCTAGGCAAGTTATAATTCCTTGTAATGACAAAAATGAAATGTTACAATCAGCAATAATATCCCTAGGACATTGGAAATAATAGAGATAATTTTATCAAGCTCCAAAGGCGGAGGGCTGTTACCAACAAATGTGCTTGAGAAAGAATAACGCAAAGCAACATAGGATTTTCAGGCTCTATGAATTTGGCCAATTTCTTTATATGTATGTCGTAGATAATTTAATAGACTGAGAGCTTCCCATGGTACAGTCCGTCGTTTTCAATCTGATACTCCAAAGGAATATGACCTGATGGCTCCCTAAGTTAGAACGCCAATGCAATAAAATAACCAAATTTAATTGGTCGTGAAAATCTGTCGAAAAGAATTATCGCCAATTATCCCTCCTATTAGCTCAAACTAATCCAATACTTATTACGCCAATTATTTCACTAATTAGGTCAAATACTACCAACTGTCTTAGAAATTATCCCACTCCTGACACCAAATTATCATGGATTGCGTGGGTCCACTGAAACTATCTTCACTAACAAAAACTACTTTTATTGGAATAATTGAACTCACAAAATTCACTTAACACTTATAGCTTTCACTTAGCTTTATACAAAAATTTCCTTATTTGACCTAACTAGAAACTAGCGGTTAATCTAGACAGTGAAATCGGCTTTTTGGCATCAACCAATCAATTAATATTGGCTATTGATTGGTTTAACATTATTAATTTATACAAAAATATTTAAAGAATAAAGTTTAAAAGTCTAGAAAGAAAAAGTTTTCATTCATTTGATTTAGAATCAAATTTGCCATGGATCTCCTTCATTTTGTAAAAAAAAAAAATATTCTCTAACAAAATAACTATTTTCAATTGAAACTACTAAATTAAACTTAGAAAACTATACATGACACTAACATATTGGGAAAAAGTCCAGTAAATATCAAAATTAGCATTTGTCAGTACTATCAGGTACTAATTAACATTTTCAAAAAGCAAATAAAAAAGATTCAACAAGTTTTCTGGTAATGTTTAAAAAAATTGTGTGACATTAGAGGTAAACAATTTTCAAAAAACACTACTTATTTGTCTTCTCTTTGAAAACTACGCATAACAAGTTTATTAAAAAATTCTGCTCAAACTAAATAGCCAATAAATAAGTCATAAAAAAAAAATACATATTGTAACTGGAATGTCTCAAGTGTCTTGTCATACGTAATAAGGAATGTTTGATATCACATACGCCGGTTCTCACGTAGGAAGTTTTTGGTGTGAATTCAGAAGATGTAGGTATTCCGCTAGGTAAACTAAAGCCCAAAGTTGAGAGGGCCATTTTGAAACAATTTTTCTAGTACCGCTTAGCAGGTGCTAAGTATGCTCAAAACATGAAATGGGTTTTGGTAACACAATTATTAGTATAACGGAAATGCTGCATGAAATATTATCAACTTTTTTTCCAGCAAACTATA